TTTTAATAAACATAACTTCAAAATCCCCTCCGTGGACGTCCCTACGTCTGTGGCACAAAATAATTTTTAATGCCTGTTAAACAATTTAAATGTTATTTTAATGATTTTTGTAGTTTTACCTAGTTAAATACTTATAGTAACTTTTTATTTAATATTTTTTTAAGAAAAATTTATTTTTATAAAATGAATGACTAGTAAACTTTGTCCATCAAAAATGAAATCTCCCTCCATGGACAACTAATATAGTTCGGTATATATGCAATAAAGGGCAGCAAATGCGAAATCCCTATAAGACAGCTGCTGGGAAACCATTCCATTTTCTAATGTTAACTATCAGTTGTTTTTGTTCTCTTTGGTGTCAGTTTTGGATTGTTGCGTTGAACTGGGGTTTGGCAAAGTTCTCACTGTATACTCCGTGGACATCATAAAGAAGGTAAGAGAAAGTTATTTTATTTTTGATAGATGAATTTCAGATTGCAAAAATAGTATAATTAATAAAAAGAACTGTCCCATTTTTGTAACTTTAAAATTAAAAATCAGTAAAATTCAAGAACTAGTTTTTGTCTCCTCCGTGGACATAACAAGTCCACTGAGGAGAAGACACAGTCAATGGAAGAGACAATGTGTTAGATAACCATAATACAATTTTAATAATTGAAAAAACTATTTTCTTTTAATTGATTTTTTAGTCTATTTATACCTTTTTAGTGAGAATGACCCATATTCTTATCTAAAGAACACAGAATATGAAAATAGCGTTTTTTGTGTTTTGATTATATCTTTAATAAACAGGACATTTGTTCCTTCTAAAATATAATTGATTCGAACAGAAAAAGCGCATAAAAAGTCATGGAACTGTTTACTTGAAGAAAAAAATACTGTTGGTAAGGAAATTTCTTTTTTTCTTCTTTTATTTTAAAGAGCTAATTATCCTTTATCGCCACTTTCTTTCTCTATTTTAACATGAATATTATTTAACATAACTCGCGAAGATTCTTATAATCAAATCAATATTATAACTGTTAATAAGTTGTGGTAGTTAAGCATGGTTTATTTCTACTGGAAACAGGGAAGAAATTAAATGTTTTTACTACAGTTAATTTATATTTTCCGGCTAAGTATCATACCTTCTATTGTTAAAAAATACCAATTTTTTTCCTCATTTTCTACATAAAAGCAATTTTTACTTTACTAAACTTTACTTTCCCTCTCACTTTCCTCGGCAGAAAATAGACAAAAATAACTATGTAACTTTTACTTGAACCATAGACTCAGTATCAGTATCAACCTGAGAAAAAAAGATATAGGTTATGAATACTGAAAGCAAAAAAAGGTTATAACCTTTTTGAAGTATAAGTAATATTCTTTAAAAAATATCATTTATTACTCTTTGAAGCTTAAAGTTAACTTTGGAAAAAAAGAACAGATTTTTTAAAAATATTTAAAAGAACAGTAAAATAAATAAAAGATTTAAAAAGATACTAAATGAAATAAAACTGTTAGGAAAATAAGTGTTTTAAAACCATTCAGATTTGAAATTAATAAAATAAAAAAAATTTAAACTAACAAGAGAACACTCTGCGTCATTAAGAGAAAATTTTGTCAAATAATTTTATCAACTTTTGTCGTTGTTTACTAAGCAAATAATAAAAATTTGATAAAATATATAAATTTTCATTATTGATAATTCCTTCTGAAGACAGAGTACACTTGTAAAGCTTCTCCGTAACTTTTAATAATAATACTTTATTTAAATCATCTATTTTTTTGCTTAAAATTTAAAAAAAATTAAAATAGCACGTTCATTTTCCCTGGTACGAAGTACCTGTTCATGCGATCAACATTTCACTTCTTCATATGATGTGTGAGGCCCTTAAGCAACTGGAGTTAATGTCGTACCAAAATTTATCCTATAAGTAAATTTATTCGAAAGTAAGGCATTAAATGCAGAAGTGACCAAAAGAAATTTAGTTTAAAGTTAATGCTTGACCACGTATCGGGGAAGTGACCAAATAAAAAAATTTTTCAACTTAATACTTGACCACTTATCGGAAAATAGCTGTCCATTCGTCAGGCCTTTCTTGTTTGAGCAAAATAGAGAATTATTTTTGTTTGTACAACACAAACAACATTAACACGGCTTCCCGTAGATCACCGAAGTAAGCATTACTGGCTGGACTAGAGAGCGGGTACGTGACCACTCAGCGTAGGGACTGAGCGAGCTCAAATTTTCTGAGATACCAGAGCTGGGAAGACGTCCCCTCTGTGGAGGATCAAAATTATATAATGGCATGTTTTCGGCACCAATGGCCCTTTGTATAGCTCTAATGTGACATATATAAAGTACTATTACTATAATTCATAAATACAAAGTTCAAGTGTTATTTTGCATTAAAATATTTTTAATCATTTATTTATTTACTTTTAGTCGAGGGACTTCCTTGACTTATACATTTATTAGGAGCCGCTTTAAGCCATTCGCGATCGCAACACTCAAATATACTAACTGGTTGGAAGACCGGTTCCTTGTTTTGAGCCCAGTGTCCGATTGATCATATGACCTGAAAGGCTCAGGCCATATGATAAATCAAGCCCCCCCCCCCATATTTCTGGGGACCCCCTAAATATTACAAATGCCTTTTTGTGTTTTTCTTTAAAAATTGTTTTTTAAACTTGTGAGTTTACTAAAATTGTTATAAATATAAGCTCAAATTTACTAACTTATCATATTTTACTAATTCTATAAATAATTTAAGGGCACTTTATTATAAACAACAAGTAAATTTCGCTTAAAATTACCACCCATATGCCCCTGATAGTTTTGTGCTTAGGGCCTAAACATTTCTAGATCAGACCCTGCTGGAGCTTCCCCCTTTTCTCTACACTTGTGCTCATATATGGGAATGTATTACGATGTTTCCCCTTTCCATAATATTTCTTCACATTTAAATTGCTAAAAATATATTTAAAAATTTCTACGATTTTTTCCTTAAATAATGTGGGTCAGTGGTAGTCCAGTGGTTTGAGAATCGGATTCCGTCTTAGGAGAGAGGAGAACCTCCAGACAGGACCAGTGGTTTAGGACCTCCAGACCAGAGTTTACCCCATTGTGACCCCCTAACACCCACCGAGTACATGGATATAAGTACTCATAAAATTTAATCATTCTGAAACCCTGAGGATGGTCACTAAGCAGTATCATGGGTACAGGGATCTGGTGAAAAATTCCTTCCCCCTTAGATATATGTCTAAATTGAGGAAGTGGCCTCACGAATGAGATTCCCTCTGCTGAGGATGAAAATTGCAATGTCTTCTTAATGTATGTTGTGTCTTCGAATCATACCCGAGGAAGTTTCACAGATCGTCATCTCACCAATAGCCCACTATATAGCTCTAATAGTGCAACGTAAATAAAGCACTTAATTATCTTGAAGCACTAGGTTTAATGCAGTTTTGAGTTCTGTAAAATTTTCCAAACTTGAAAATTTTTTACCGGTTTGAAAATCAAGATAGAAAAATAACGTACTTCTTATTCCAACACCTGTCTCGACGCTCATGGTGAAAGCATTCCACACGTAGCTGATTATAATAGCCAATTACTCATTACGTTTGGCACTAGGCTAAGATTTTGTGCCCTGAAGTAATTTAAATAGTGACATATTTTTAGGCCTTCATTCTGATACATTATATACAATTCTATAGAAACATGTTATTCATAATGGTAAAAATAAAACAAATTACAATAAGTAAATTCTAAATTTATAACGCGTTTTTTAATATTTTTTAATTTTTAATTAGTATGTGATCCCAGAGCCCACTTTCCAAGGCCCTAGGGGTGTTTGCAATTTCAGGTTTATGGCCAGTCTGATCCTGAGAAATTCTCTTTATTGATTACCCTTTCCAGACCTTTATGATCCCTATGAGGCTATGAGACAAATGGCGATCGAAATGAGCTACAGGTGGCGTAGAGCAGAACTCATTACCTACACCATAGATATAGACTGCCTACACCACACTTCGTATGCTTTCACTTTTAGCGTGTCTAGTTATAGGAAAAGAAAGTAAGTTAGTTTCTCTTTTGAATTTAAATTGAATAAAAACTTTTGAAGAGAAAACTAATTGGAGCTGAAAACAATATTGAACATTGTTCTAAAAGAAAACGTCGGGGAAAATTAAAAAACGAAATATTTTTGACAGTTAAATACGAAAAATATTAAGAAAGAGGAGAATATCGTAGTACATTCCTACAGGCGATAGCTACGCTCGAATACACTTATGAGAAGACCGGTTCCATGCCTTTGGCTCTTCCCTCTCCCTTTCTTTTCAGTTGTTTAGAAATGTGCTACGATATTTTCCACTTTCTTAATATTTTTCATACCTAATTGTTAAAAATATTTTCTAAAATTTCCATGACGCTTTCTTTTGGAACCAATTCCATATAGTTTTCTAACTTAAAAGATTTTAATCTACTTAAAAATAAGGACAGAAAACTAACGTACTTCCTTCTTCTATGACTCTCCAGCTTCCACGCGCTAATGGTGAAAGCATGTGAAGTGATGCCATTAATAAAAAGTTCGCTCAAAGCCACTTGTAGAAGGGTCAAGACATGGAATATGTGTTCTCTCCAGATGGCGTTTTCGAGCGTTGAAATCGCGAATAGAAAATTTGAAAGCGGCAACAACACAACTGCAGGAATGATCTCTAGTAAGAATGGAAATAATTTTAACTCGGCTACGGCGAGTATTTTACAGACTAGCTTTCTGCAAGTTGGCAACGAAGAGAAAAATGAAATAGACAACTCAGATACTTTCTAATTATTTCTGAATAATCTTGTTTGATTCTTGATTCCTAATCATACATATTTCTCTTTTAAATGAGAAATCAATTTCATACCCTTTAATAAGGTATAATCATAATTAAATAAAGTATTGATTCTAAAAACAAGAATCAAAGTAAAACAGAAACCAAAAGCGAAACCATAATTCTGCAGTGTCGCCATCTATAGAGTAAAATACTAATTATTTTAAATAATAAATAAATAAATAAACAACAAATAACTTTATGATGTTAAAGATAAATATTTTCATTCCGTGACGTCCAATAAATTGCCCAAGATTGTGATAATTTCTTTCAGCGGTAAAACTGATTTTTGTATTGAATTTTTTATGCTTTTTCTTTTCTTTTTTACTAGAATGGATGTTATTTCAAAAATACTTTTTCGATTTAAAATATTAGGGTTAAAGTTTGTTGACATTTAATTCTCTTTCAAAAAATTATCTATTTCATTCATTTCTAAAGAAAACTAGTTACTAACTTCAATCAATATGCACACTTATAAATTTTTTAATAGAATTTAATTTTGACCAATATTTTTTCCTCAATGGAAACAAAAAACTAATTTTAAATGTTTTAAAATATAATGTTTAAAAATAATGCTGATAATGTTAATGTTGTAAGTAAATAATATCCTTTAGTTATAAAAAATAACTATTTTTAAATATGTGTTGAAAACAAAAAGAACACAATTAAATTATTAGCTTACAAATAAATATAAATTTGAAGTTATATAACACATTTCTGACGAATTTCATTAAGGCATGCATCTGATATATTCTAAAGTTTCTCTTTTTATATTTCAATTTAATTATTTTCATTTTACATTTTGAAGCTTATTTGTATGTTTCTAAGCTTTTACAGAGATTTATTCCTCAATTAGTATATTTAATACAGTATTTCATATTTCACTTATTTTTATAAATTTATAAAGTGCACTCAAGTTATCGAAAAACAAGTAGGTAACTTTTACAAATTTTTAGTTTTCCCATTTCATCGTAATCCTCTTTAAAGCTAAGTTACCAAATGGCCAAAAAGTTACAATTTGTAAACTTTTTGGTGATTTAATTTGAGGACAATGTAAAGTTTAAATTTTTTTTGCTATTATTATTTATTATTATTTTCTATTATTATACAATTAAATACAATAAATAATATAAACAACTATATAAAATTTTTAGATAACCTTCATTTCTTAATCCTTCAAAGAAAAATAAATATTACATGAATTGTTTCTTTTCAAGTTGTAGGAATTCAATTACTTTATTTTAGAAACAATAATTTTCAAGAAATAATACAAACTTTGTTCTGTAAAAAGGGTCATCCATAAATGATGGCACATATTTTTCAATATTTTTTACCTCATCCACTCTTTGTCACTATGAGTCATATTTCACCTTATCCTCAGCTTCTCTTGTCACACATGTCAGTCTATAAACATATACTAACAGTTCAGAAACAAATATTATGAAAAATGTTTCTAAATTTATCCTTAAACTCTAATTATGTGTTTTAACATTAGAAAAACTAAACATTTTCATATACCTAGAAAGACTGAAGGATCCAGTTTGGCCCTTCCCAGATTTTTCGTGTGTATATTAATTAGGCATCCAATATTCTACTATATAATCATCACTATTCTATTAAAAACATATTACAGACTTGATCTTCAAAACTCTACAGTATTTTATTCAATTTGGTCAACGAAAATATTTGATTAAGTTGGGCATTTACTTTTCAATTATAAGTATACATTTTTTCTTAGATAATTGAGTTTCCTTTTTGAGTTCTTTATAAATAATAATTATAGATGTGTCAAAATACTCTTGCTGTTTTTAATGAAACTTTGAGTAGGTACCTTATCTAGATATATCAAAAGGTACATTATACCCAAAACTACGTGGGGTTCTGGGATACATACAAAAATATTTAAAGGGCCCCTCTTGTCATTGTAGATATAAAATTCTATCTATACATTTTGATGAAGCTTACACAGAAATAATTAAATATGCCTTTAAATTAGATCAAATTAGGAAAAATCGGAGATGCACCACACTTTCAATAAGTTGTTTTTTTAATTACAGCGCAACAAAAGGCGAGAGAGGAACTACAGTAATAATGGTTTGATGTTTGTTTGTTTTGATGAATAATATGGAAAAATTTAAAAACTAATTTTATGAAAGTGGTTGTTTTGCTGATTTTAATGGTTTTAATTTTAACCGAAATGCATGATGTCCCGCTTCTTAGTGCACCCGACCATCCCCTTTGTCACAAACTGTCTCAATTTTAAAAATCCCCTTCCTCCTCTCTAAGTGTGACATCAATTATGAACTTCCTCAAAGCGTAATTTTCTTCTAACATTATCTTTTCATTGACATTCTTATATAACCTTATTTGTATCTCATTTAGATTTCAATGTTACGTATAGTGTATGGTAGTCCATACTAATTTATATATTTTTTAAAAAGAATTGATGTTGGTTATGTTTTCAATTTTGTCTCATTTATACCTGAATTTTGAGAATCCTCTCCAAGTGTGACATCTATTATGAATTGCCCCAAAGTGTAATTTTCTTCTAACCTCATCTTTTCTCTAACATTCTTATGTAACCTTAATTAAATCATTTAGATTTCAATGTAACATATAGTATATGATGGTTCATACTAAATTATCTATTTTGAAAACGAATTGATGTTGGTTATGTTTTCAATGTAATTTTCTTTATTTTTTCATCAGCTTAGGATTTAAATATGGCTGAAGACTCAGGAGGCAGCACGGTTGGTTCTTGTTCGGATGAAACTTCAGACATTACCAGCCCGTTTGTTGAAATAGATTTTCAAGATATTGAATTCTATGAAAGATGTGGTGGTGGTGCATTTGGTTGTGTTTACAGAGCTCTTTGGAAATCGCAGAATAAAATTGTAGCCGTAAAAAAACTCTTGGTTTTAGAAAAAGAAGTATGTAATCAGTTTTATTAATTTTTAATTTTTTTTTATTATTATGTTTTATGACTATGTAGTAAATGGAAATATTTTCTTTTAGGCACAAGTTTTGAGTCTCCTCAGTCACAAAAATATTATTAAGTTTTTTGGAGCCGTGACAATATCTCCTAACTATTGTATAATAACAGGTAAATCTAATTAACTATTAAAACTATTACTTCTATAGCTTTCCACAGACCTGCCAACTACTACGCTTTTTGCAAGATATTTTACAGAACAGAAACATTTAAAGGCAAAAGCTTTCTGAATTTTTGGTAATTTTGCCAACATTTTAAAAGCCTTATCATGAAGGAGCTAGAGCAAAGTGGCGTTGCATGTAAACATTTAAATTATTAATGTGTAGTGGTGTGGAAAAGAAGTTTTATGGATAAAAAATAATACATTAAGATTTATACTTAGCTACCACTAGAATAAATTTTCACAAAAAGCATAGAAAGTTTCAAGCCAGAAAGTTACAAACCATTTCATCATATACTTCATAGAGCTCAGGGGATAGAGTATTCATCTTGTGATGAGGTGGCTTAGGTTTGAATCCCAGAGGTGGCAAAATCTGCTCCCGGCTCGCACTGACTGCAATGCTGATATAAAATATCCCCAGTGGTAGATGGATCATGTGTTAGAATCCCCTTGTTATTGAGCTGTCATATTTGGGGGAAATTTTCGTGGTTTTCTTCTCTATCTTATACAAATGCAGGTTAGTTCCATCTAAGAGCTCTCCAGGAAGGCTAGTTTATCCCAATGCTTTATACAGCAGTTTCCTTGTCTTCTGGGTTGAGTTAAAAATTGCAAAACTATGAAATTGAACATTGATAGTCGTAAACTCAGAGTTGTCTGTTCAATGCCAGTTATAAAAGAAAATATATACTTCATAACAATTGTACCTCAATGATTATTTAGATATATACCATTTTGTTCTTGTTTATTTATTTCAAATTTATAATTGTTTTGTGTACTTCATAACAATTGTACTTCAATGTATATTTAGATATATAGTATTTTCTTCTTGTTTATTTATTTCAAATCTATTAACTGTTTTATTTTGTGATATTTCAGAATATTCAGAAAATGGATCATTGTTTGCTTTTCTTGGTGAACAAGAAAACAATTCAATGTTAAATTTTGAGCAGATTCTATGTTGGAGCTGTGAAATAGCTGCTGGTATGACTGGATACACTATTATTCATTTTTGAAATCTTACTCATTATCTGTTTAATATATTTTTATAAAATAGTTTTTATAAGACAAAAGTGTATTTAACTCTTAAACTGATTTACTACTTGGAAAAATTTGTATCCAAATTTCCATTGGTTAACATGTGGGTAAAGCAGTTTTTTGCGGCTAAAGCAAAATTATTGAACACTGACCTGATAGTTAAAGGATAAATATAATACTTGAAAAAAAAAGGGATATTTTACCCTACAAATTTTAAATCAAAGCTAACTTATTTTATTTTTATAAGACTGTTGAATTTATATTATGTGATTCAGATATTTACTTACTTTTAGGCATGCATTATTTACATGAAGAAGCACCTGTAAAAGTTATTCATCGTGATTTGAAATCAAAAAATGGTAAATGGTAATTATGCTTGTTTCATTAGCTATTTTGAAAAGTAACTTTTAAAAATTTAAATAATTTATCATTTAAACATTGTTTTAAAAGAAGAAAAAAATACCATTATTATTATTTTGCTTTCTTTGTACTTATTCACTAATTCAAAAAATCTTTAAAATAAATTGTCTAATGTCTTAAGATGTTCTTAAACTTTTTTTATTTTATGACAAATACCAAAATTGTTTATCATCATTTAAATTCTCTCACTCCATTACATTTTGTATCAAAAAGTTAATAAATAGCATAAAAAACTTTTTTTTTAAAAATTTAAATAACTGACTTATTTTTCAAATGTATATCAAGCATGTACTAAATAAATAATATATTCTGTATGTATATATTTGTTATACTGTGTTAATATTACTAAAATATAATTTGAATTTTTATTATAGTTGTGATAAGTGCTGATTATGTATGTAAGGTATGTCAAACACTTTTCTTTTAGTTAGTGTTTTATAGTTTTCTTTAAAACTTATATATTTTATATAAATATTTGATTTTGAAATTTTTTTTTAGCTTATTGATTTGTAATAGCCACTGGCAAAGTTTATCTTCAAACTCTCCTAATAATACAGTGCTCAAAATAAAAAATGGACCACCCTGTATAACTTTTGATCTAATGATCGGATCTTCACATTCTAGGACTCAATCTAGGGATCACTCAAATACGTTAATTAATTTGTGCAGAGGTTATTTTAAGTTTCGAAATCAGACACAAAAACATACTTTCTCTGAATAAGCACACCTTTTTTGAAAAATTAGGATTTCTGACCCCCAAAATATAAGGGGTAGCTGCAATCTTGGAAATATGATCTCAATAGTTTGATCCCCTTAATGTTAATTTGACTTTGTGCATATTTTATCATATCTCAAGATTTTTTTTATGCAAATTGAAAATTTTTGGACACAATTTTAAAACTACATTGTTTAAAGATAATTCCAAGCAAAAAATAACTTTTAAAATATATTTATAATTTTTTTATTTAATATTAGTTAAGAAAATTTTGAATTGTCAGGTATATAATTTTTTACATCATTTTAAAGAATATAATTTTACATGACATAATACAAAATTTGAGGGAAATTGGTTGAATAGTTCTTGAGAAATTTAATTTCAAACAAGTCGAATTTTAAAAATTCGATTTGTCTGATACGACATAACGTTATTAAAGACAATCCGTTTTTTAAATTTTATTTTGGGCACTGTATTTTACAATTTTTGTTGTATCAGTACTTCTGAATAATGATTTGAATTACAATATCAGTTGCTTTTCATGGATGCAAGTACAGTAATAATTGTAAATGAAAGTGGATGAAAGAGTTATATTATAGAAAAATAATTCAAAATTTCCTTTTAACTGATGGAATTCAAAGTCTTTCATATCCTCTGTTAAGCTTTTAAATTTAGAGTACAACGGCCTCCAAAACCCACATTTTAATAGTCTAGAGATAAACAGATTTATATTTTTATAAAATATATTTACTATTTTTTAAATAAGAAAACTTATTGTTAAACATTTATTGTTTAAGAAATGCAAAACAATAATTAGAACTGAAGGAATGCTACCTTTGAAAATCTACTATTATAAGGTTTCCAAAGTCTTCATATATGTTCCTATCAATACAGCTTCATTAAAATTAATCTCTTTTTTAAAAAAATGATTTATTTATTGAACACAAAATTTTTCTTTTTTGTGGAACTTTTTTTTAAACAAAATAATTTTAAAATACAGTTGTTTATACATGAGCTTAAAAGTGAGCAAAGCCTTGCATACTCCACTTAGTATTAAATACAAATAGTAACTAATTTAATGTTACTTTATCAATCAAAACATTACTTAATATTAAAGGAAAAAATATTATTATTGTATGTTTAAACTTTTTTATTTCTATGAAAAATAGTGCTATAGTAAAAACGGTGTTAACTCTGGATATTATTTTTCGTCAATTTAGATTTGTGATTTTGGTGCTTCCCGCTTTATTGATAGCACAACTAAGATGTCTGTTGCAGGCACATTGCCATGGATGGCACCAGAGGTACTCCTGATTGATTTCTATTTTATTTAAAATATATTAAAACAATTTAATTGTTATTACTTCTCTCTTTAATGGGGCTTACTGTTATTAGGGTTTGTTGATTTTTTTTTTTAAGAAAAGAAAGCTTTGAGTAAAAAATTCTTTTTTAGCAAGCTTTTAATATGAGTTTGTTTAAATTTTTTATCGGTTTTCATAGTTTTAAATTTTATTGTAAATATATTATTGTGTTAATAAATTTCAATTGAATAAATTAGAGCCATGATGGCTCAGGGGATAGAGCGTTCGTCTTCCAATGAGGTGAATCAGGTTCGAATCACGGCGATGGCTGGTTGATACGAATTCTGCATCCGGCTTGCACTGACCACAGTGCTGACGTAAAATATCCTCAGTGATAGGTTAAAGTCCCCTTGCCTTCAGGCTAACTGTGGGAGGCTTTTGTGGTTTTCCTCTCCATGTAATGCAAATGCGGGTTAGTTTCATCAAAAAAATCCTCCCAAAAGGTAAATTTCTACCCTTGTCTTCTGTATTTGGGTTTAAAATTACAAGGCTATGGAGTTGAACAGTAGTAGTCGTAAACCTGAAAATTGGGTTAGCTGTTCAACAACGGTTATATAAAATAAAATTAAATAAATTACATTAAATACTTGGTTCACAATAAATTACAGTATTTTTTATGTAACCTTTTTCTATAACATTTAAATTTAGAAATTACATTTAGAAAATCTTAGTTCTAATGGATTATGCAGAATTTAAATAAGGAACAAAATGAAAATTCAATGCAGTTTTTTTTCTTCATACTTTTAAATCTGTAAAATGTAGTTATTCCATTAGATTTTTTTCTTCTTCAAAAGACATAATGGTAGTGAAAATCCTACAGATTCTTTGTCTTAAAACACAATTCCAAAAAATTCATTTTGTTTTATTTAATGCAAATGAATTCTTTGATCATGGAGTAGTATATCCAACATTTAAAGGAAATTTGGGTAAATTAAGTTTTTCTACATTGAAATTTTTATGAACCTGCAGTTAATGTAAGTACCTACTTATGTGAGGTATCACAATTTTAATTGTCATTAAAATAGTTACTAGTTAAAATCAAAAATTTCTATTGGATATTTTTTAATAATTTCGAATGATAAATTTGCATACATCACTGTAAATTTATTTTAACACAGTTACATAATTTCATGCGCAATGTTATTCCAATTACAATTGTATTTTTAAAATTAAACAATTTTGAACTTGGTTTTGCGGTATTTTATTTTTATCTGTTTTAAATAAAAAAATTCTGATTTAAATTGATAGAATAATTTGGCGATGTAGTCTGCCTTTGCTACCACATTCATTTAGATTATTGAATTTATCTGACACAATGGGGGGAAAATTTAAATATTAAAATTTAAATATAAATATTAAAAAATGTATAATAAACTCTTTTTTTTATATTAATGAGAGCTATAAGCTAACAAACATCATTGATGTTATCTTTATAATGTTTGATAAAATCTGTATCTGCCGTTTAATTTATACCAATAGCCAATGAGATACTTCTAAGCTAATGAGAAAATTCCATTTTTTCAAAAGTCTCTCAAAACCAATTTAATTGAAATTTTCGAACAATCGTTAGGAACGGGGACTAAAGTTACTTCTTTCATTCACTGTTTATGTTACAGGATGCTAGCACAAATGGTTCTGGAGTTATAAAAACAGACTCCCAAAATGTTCATTTATTATTATAGATAAGTTCCAGTTCTATCCATGTAACAACTGAGGCAATTCATTATTACAAATACATAAATTTTTTGTTCTTCTCTAGGTCATTCAGTGCCTTCCTGTTTCTGAAAGTTGTGATGTTTGGTCATATGGTGTTGTTTTATGGGAACTCCTCACACATGAAGTGCCTTTTAAAGGAATCGAAGGTTTTCAAGTTGCTTGGGCAGTCGTTGAAAAAGAAGAGGTTTTGTTCACTTCAGTATTCTAGTTAGTTTTTAGTCATCACACATTCAGAATTAGTCCCATTTTAAAATTTTGATACTCTTTCCATTTTAAAATATCATCATACTTATCTCAATCAAGGAAACATTTCTCTCATTTGTTTTGCCCTTTCAAATAATCTTAAATCAATGTATTCTTAAATCACCTTTCAGGTATATATCTATGTAATATATATATATATATTAAAAAAGTTAATTTAAAATTACACTAGGAAAAGTTTACAAGGAATGGCAGACAGTCAATTTAATTATACTTTTACATGAAATGTCATCTTAAAAAATTTAATTGATTTATATTATTTATTCTAAGACAATGCAAACTAATTATTCTATAGATGTTCATGCAACAAATTACAAACAAGCATACTCTTGTATTATACTGGTATATACTCTTACAAATTATACTCTTCAATACTTTTAAATGTGTGTTGGTCAACTAGCAAAATTTTGCTTTGAATAAGGAAAAAAAATTTTTGTTAGAGACGATAGAAATTTCATGACAAAATAATTTTTCTACTTAATAGATAGAACTTAATGGATTTTTAATTAGTCATAAAATTGATGCATATGAAAATTTAACGCTCACATAAATAAAAGTTCTAGAAAAACACTATGAATAGTCCAAATCTTTGATATTTTTTCAAAAATTAAAGGTATATTATTATTAAATATATTTTATAAATTATAGAATTAAATATAAACATAAAAATAAGCAAATTTGAATGGGAAATATTTATCTAAACTTTTCATGACTAATTGAAAAAAATTTCATGTTATAAATAATTTTGACATTCTATAGAGATTAACTATTCCGAAATGCTGTCCTCCAAGATTTGCAGAATTAATGACAGCTTGCTGGAGAACTGATCCAAAGGTGATAATTTTTTTGCATTATTTTGATTGATTGTTTATATCACCATATTCAATGGACTACACATTTAAATTTTTAGTTTTTTTTTCTTTTATTAGACTACTACCATCTTTTCAATTTTATGATCATTTTTCAACATAAAATTTCAAGTAATAAATGAGAACAAAATGAATTTCTCTATATTTATTTTAAAAATTAGATTTAAAATTATTTTATACTTGCTTACAATCTTTAATTTACATTTGCTAAATAATTAAATGGATGCATGCTGAAAAGTCTTTCTCTTTCCTTTGGAATATATGATTTATCAGTTGATATCAAATGAAAGATTTTTTGCTATTTCTGAGTACAATAAATAACCTTGAAATATTTATTTTCAAATATTGTTTTATAGATTAAAAGTAAAAAAAAAATCATAATTTGCTTCATCATTGCAAAAGTAGTTCTTTATACTAAAGATATTTTATTAAATCTTTGTCTAAAAACACCTCAATTTTTTTAATATGGAAAAATTATAACAAAAAATAAATGATTTTGGCATAATTAACCCGGTATTAAATTGAATAATTACACTTTGAAGTGCTGGGTAAAAACTATTTCAAGAGCAAATTTTTAAATTTATTTTGTGTAAAAAATATATGCATTATTTTTTGCACTTATTTAGTGCTGTAAAATTTGGAATCTAATTAATTGACATAAAAAAAAATGTATAATTGCATTTCATCATTTCTTTAACTAACACTTTGTTTTGAAGTAGTATTTTAAATTTTACGAAGTGTCTTTTTTAAAACTGTAAGGAAATCTTCTATCTATGTGCTTTTTATATAGTAAATAACACAAAACTAGTTACTGAAATGCAAGAAAAAAGCATTCAGATCCTAACTCAAATAAAATTCCAGTTCCGAGTCAGCAAAATTTTTTACTGTAATTCATAAATTATTACTTTGGTTTGAATTGAACGTTTGCTTATTAAATATAGCTTCATTTGTCTTTATCTCTGTGTCAAACATTAACTTGTTGAATTCACTTTTATCTATTTATCAAATTATTTTTTTAACTGTCATTTGTTATTTTTTTAAATTAAATTTATGGAATTAACATAATTGATCATGTTTTTAGGAAAGGCCTTCTTTTTCTGAAATATTGAAAGTTTTATTCTGTATGCAAAATGATGGCAAGTATAACTTTGTATATGCTACCAATAATTTTGAACTAATTTAGCAGAAATAAATCTACCGCTATGCTATGTGTATTTTAATGTCTAACAGTGACCATGATACGTAAAATATTCATTTCAATTTTTGAACTTTTGGTGATGAATATAGTTTCAACTTTAATATTTAAGATTGTGCTACAAAATACAGGGTAATTCAAAATGAATATCGCGATTTCAAGCAGCTGTAACTATTTGATGAAAAATAATTTATCGATAAGACATGGTGCATAGCATTTTTAAAAAGTGCTTACAGGTGCTTATTTTCGATTTTTGTTATTTGAAAGCCCTTAAAGGTGCTTTTTTTATTGGGAGTTTTTAAAAAGTGCTTAATTTTCCCTTTTTAAAAAATATGATTTTTTTTGTTACCATATTGATTTTTGCCACGTAATATGCAAAAGCGTGCTTTTCACGTTGTTCTATTCAACGTTTTCACAATTCATTTCGGCGTACCGTCGGTCCATAGCGTATGAAAGAGCCAATCATTCTACATGTTTGAAGAAATACTTGTGAGTCGGTACGTGCATCTACTGAGCTGGGTTGGGTGAGATTATTGCCTTCTCATGTGCAACTCTGCTGCATTTTGCAAGATATTCTCAATTTCAGACTTCATTTTCCACCCTCTGATATCGAACCAAAAAATCTCTCGATCATTTTATAACGGTTCATATAATCAAGAAAAGAGTTATACTAGTTATTTTCTCATGATCATGTAAAGTCTTTGAAAATTATTTTGCATTTTGTTAAAGTATATAGTGCTTAAAAATATATTTTGAGTGCTTAAAAAGTACTTAAAAGGTGCTTATTTTTTGTTGAAAGATTTGGCTATGCACCCTGTAAGATAAGCATAGAATGTAGATTGAACTTTAAAATTTCTTTACTTAAGACTCAGGCGCAGTAAAGCGGAACCCCATGCATGCGGATGTTCATTAGTGAAAATTGAGAGTCCCATGCAGAAAGCATTCTGTGAGTTAGAATTTAATAATTGTTATTTTGTTATCACAATGCAGAGAAGATTTTGTGAGTGTTATAATAAAGAACCTCCAAATGGAAACACCATAATGCAGATACTCATACAGAACTCAAAGAACACATTTGTAATGCACTTGCGTCGGTGACTGCACAAATGCTTCAGAATGTATGGCGTGAAATGGACTATCGCCTACATGTTGTCCGTGTGACAAAGGGAAGTCGCATAGAAACTCCGTGGCGCATTTATGCAAAATTTGAAGTTCCTTTTACATTCTGTGTGAATTTTATTGATAAATTATTTTTCATTAAATAGTTATAGCTGTTTGTAATCGCTGTATTAATTTTGAATTAACTTGTACTTTGGTATGAGTATTGACTTATTTGTACTAGTATTTTGAAACTGCCTTAAAAATGTATTTATATTTTTAGGGCATTATTTAAAAAAAATATATATATTTATTTGAAAAATCTTTTTTGATGTACTTAAAATAGAAAGCTTTTAGAATTTAATTTTACATAGGTATCTGTATTATAATGTAGAAAGCTATTTGTATTCTATGTTAATTATATAATCCATGTTTTAGATGCTTTCTGTGATGAACTGTCTGTATATCTCAGCCAAAAGAGTGTCTGGAGGTAAAATGATAGCTTCTTTTAAAAATTATGTGGACTTCATTATTTTTTTAAAAAGTATTTTGTTATTTAATTAATTCACTGAAAACTTTAACGATCAATAACATGTGCTGATCATTTACTTGTAAAAAAAATAATAATCTTTAAAAAAAACTAATATTCAGTTAGTAGATTTCTGTTGTCACTTGATAATGGATTATATTTTGTACAAATGTTAACAAACACAATATAAAACAGTGCAAACGTAAAAAAAATTTTTTTTTGACCTCCTTACCTTCACGACTTCCTGTTAGACAGTTTCTACAGCTTTTTGCACGCTTATTACTACAGCTTATTGATATTTTCATACAGATAATTTTGTTTTCAATAAAATAAATAATTAATATCATTTTTTAACTCATATCTTCTCCATTTCATAGTATATTAATAATATTAAGTGATTGTGGTGAGTTTGAAGTGAAAATGTGTTTTCGTTATTTATAGATATATTGTTAAAAAAGGCGACATTGTTATATTTGAAAAAAAAATTTCTGTTTGACAGTCCTGATTTGGCTTATTTTGATGTGTTTGATTATTTTGATATATTATTAGTATATTGCTGACAACGTACTAAGTGTTTTATAAAAATTTCTGTCTCATAATAATATTAAGTTTTTATTACCTCTCAAACCACATGTTTACTATCTTATTCACCATTTAGGATTATTATTATATAACTACATTTATGTTTATTTTTATATAACATGTATTATCTTTTCATTATTTACTGTGCTCACTGTTAACACATTGAACCAAATGGCCTCAAAATACACCTGATATATGGGTAGATATGAATATACCTGATATATGGATATGGAGACCCAGAAATATGGCTGGTAAAGAGCCTGCAGGGCTTCCTAGTGTATAAAGCACAATCTATTAAAAGATTCTTTAAAAATAAGATAAACTCTTTAAAATCCTGAGTTTTACCAAATCATTATTCTCCATAATGAACTAATGCTATTTTGAATTGTACTTTCAATTTCCTGTATTTCTTGAATCTAAAATTATAAATTCAATTTACTCTGTCCAATGCTCACTAGATTACTTCACACTTTTGATTGTTAGCTTAATGAATAATTTTTTAATAATTTAGATTTTATAAATCTATTATGATCCAACCCAATGCCCTCAAGATTCATAGTTTATAGATATTATAGAATGACCTGCCATGTTTATAAAACAAGAATAATAATTGAACATGAATTTTCGGAATATTCCTGATTTTTTTTGTTAATAAAAATGGTCATAAATTAAAAGATTTACATATGTTTTTTTTAATTTAAGATCAGGAAATAAGGGCAAATTTTTTGCAATGCATGTGATGAGTCAATTTTTGATTAACTAAATATTTAATTTTGTTCAATGAAATAAAAATAAAAATTTTATGTTTTACCATCATGTTTGTTAAATGTATGATTTTTATATTTCCTCTGAAACAACTACATGAAATGTCTGTTTTTTTTATATATATATAGAAAAGAAATTGAAGCAACTTTGGAGCTTATGAAAAAAGCAGAACATGATTTAAATCAAAAACAAAAACACCTTGAAGAATGGGAATTGAGATTACTTGAGAAAGAAAAAAAGCTAGAAAGAAAAAAGAAATATATGGTAAATTAAACATTATTAATATTCAAATAAAAAGTAGAAGAAAAAAATAAACATTTGTTCATAAAATTGAATTTCTAAAGTTTATAAATTTTTTTTGTGCAAGTAGTTAAATTACCTTTAACTGTAATTTTATATTTTGTACATTTACTTTATTTAAAGAAAAATTATGTTAAGCAAGTAAAGAATAATTAATTTATTTTTTGATCAGAAAAAAGTACTGACAGTGTATATTGTTCTGAGAAATGTATAAATTGAGAAATGTATAAATTATATCTAAGCTGCTATCACACTAATGTAAGTTTAAGACTTAATATACAATATAAAATGATATTTTATATGTTTGTTAATAGAAAAATATATTTTTTTCTATCTATTAGACAATTGGAGTAGAGAAAGATCCCTTGTAAAATTCCCTGAATTTCACTAAAAGTAATCTACAAAAAGAAAAAAAAATCTGATTTTTCTTTACTGATTTTATATAATTTCCACGAATTTTGAAACCAATCGTGTAAAATGTATTATTAATTTTTCAGTTATACCTCATTCTTATGTATGAAATATGTTATAAAGCACTTATACATTGTTATCTACATTTTATGTATCAGAATTTTCTTAAATAATTATTACACTAATTTTTTTTAAAAAAATATTGGACTTTTAGATAGCTGAAAATTAAATTAATTTATTTTCGACTTTTGGGGTATTTTAATCAAATTTTCTAAAATTTCCCTGATTTTTTCAGATTGATGAAATGGCCACTCTGATCAATTCAATATGTTTCTTACTAAATATTTTAAAATCACGAGTGATGAATGTTTGGAATAGTTAAAACATTGTTTCAAGGTCACAGTCAGAATTTCTGCAGAAATTTAAATTTTTAAGTTTTACTTCTCTAGAAGTATTTGCTATCATAATTTCAAGACTATATAAAAATAAAAAATGTTTTAACATCATTTTTATTTTTATTTTGGGTAGCTACTGTAAATAAAAGTTAATTAGTTGTCATTTTATTATTTTGCTTGTTAATGCTTGTTATCATTCTTTTCCAGCAATTATATGAATTGGATATTAATACTTGGACATCAGAGGATGTGGTAAGTGCATACACATATTGAGGAATATAGATTTCATATAAGAAGTCACATTTGAAAAAAAAAATATATTCTAACACTTCTTTCATTTTTATAGTGTCTGTGGATAAAACAGTTAGGCTTAGAAAGTAAGAAACTTTTTTAAAAGTTATCAAATTCCTTTGCTTAACTCTATATTTTTATTAATTTTTTTAAATTCTTTTCAGCTGATTCTAAAGACCTTGATCAATATGCAGATTTGTTTCTAGAACAGCAAATTAATGGAAGACGTCTTATATTAATGACCTCTGAAGACTTGAAAGATATTGGTGTATCAACTGTCGGCCATAGAATACATTTAATGGTATGCTTTTTGGGATTTTTTTCCATTAATTTCTAAACTCTTATTCATTCATTATGTTTACAGACTGAAGTATTTCCACTTTTTATTGCTCTGAGGTTAAGTATTCAAATACTAAAGTATTTATTTATTTATAGAAATTGTTAGTGCATTTTATATACTGACCATGCATTGAATCTGGCTTATATAAAAAAAGGCACATTAATGATTAAGTCTCAAAGAATAGCTATACTTGTTGCATTACTGTTTTATCATTTTTTGGTTAATAAAATGATGTGGTACTACAGAAATTTTTCTGCAAGGAATTTTTCTGGTGAACTGGAAGTTATATAACTTAATTTAGTACAAAATTTCCTCTTTTAAAAATTGTTATTACGTAATTATATGTATTATTTATTATTGTTATTCTGTAATTATATATATTTATTATTATTATATTTAATGTTTGCCATAAAGGAGAAAAAATGAAGCATAAAATCCCATTTTAAAATAAATTGTTTTATAAATTTTTTCATACAAGCCAATTGAAATATTATGCTCGTGGTATTTATGCTCTGGTTCATCATGAATTTAGTAATCATGAATTAATGTTTTGAAACTATTACTTTTTTTCTCACATTATGAAGGATACAATAGCAGGATTGAAAAGAAGTGCCCATTTTTAAAGTGTGTAGTTGTGGGAAAGAAAACAATGGCATAACTTACAAATATGGTATATTAAAGATTTTTGTGATTGAAAACAAAGAGGAAATCATAGAGGATTAAAGTTTTATAAGCAGCTTGGCGAGTCTATTATACTCTATTCAGTGAGAACTGTTTAATGAAGAAACATGAAAGTTTGTTGTTTATCGTAAATATTGCTGACTTTTGCCAGTTCGTCAATGAGTTAGCAATTCTTTTAATATTGACTACTAATCAGATTAGTGCTGTTTGTCAAAAACCTTTATGACAGTCAGCAAAAGTTATTGTTGATTGTCAGGTTGCTTTGTTTACTTTCACAATCAGTTCTTGCTGAATAAAGTATATTGAAATCAAGCCTAATTTTTGATAATTTTTATTTCTTATAAAATATTTTTTTTATTTATGTTTAACATTAATATTTATTATTATTTCTTTCACATTATACAATTTTTTTTAACAAGTTTTGAATAATTCGAATTTTTTTACACTTCCATCTGAGTTTAAATTGAATAAAATGGACTGTGTATTAGATATTGTTAAACATTTTATTTTTAAATTTTAGGACGAAATAAGTAAATTGAAGAATCATAATAAAAGGATGCTCCACTTTCCACCTTTAGAACAGGTATGTGTCATTTAAACACAAATTATGTATTGATTTTAGATTTTATTATTCAGGCTTAAATTCTTAAAAATTGACATGAGTTTCTTTCTTTTTTTCTTTTTTTTTTAGTTACAATTACAGTCAATTTGTTCAAACTCAAATATTGCTAAAACTTTTTTTATGTGGTCCCAACTCTTTTTCCCATTAAGTTCTGCATGAAATTTGTGTTTATCATTTCCTGTTTGAATTTGTGTTAAATAAGTATTTATTACTAAATATGTCTGTGCTAGATTTCACCTGAATGATCAGGATTGAACTTTAATTTTTTCTTTTCTTTTTCCTAAAGTTTATCATATTATTATTTTTTTTATTAAAATGTATCAAGTTAAAAATCCAATAATCCGTTTTTATCTTAGACGACAGTTCAGCGAAGTTCGTCTTCCAATTCCATTCGACCCAATGCTGTCAGATTGACCATCTTATTCGGAAACCACGTCCGCCTTGGCTCTAAACCTCAAGACCACAAATGGAAGATGTACGTAGAAGTAGATGAAGGTGACAGCCCTTTAACTACTGTAGCTTGTATTAAAGAAGTTAGCTTTGAATGTGGTCATGCTGGTTTGCCTTTGTCCAGAATCACTCAGGTATCTTTTGTTGTATTTTCATTCATTTCTTCTGATTCTCAGGTTATTAACTTTTTTTCTTTCTCTGATATGGAAATAGTTTATTCTTTGAATTGTATATGCTTAATGCATTAAAAATATTTGTTACAGCCTCCTTTTGTTATGGATCGATGGTGTGTTGGAATACAACCTGATACTGTTGTTTCTTGCATTGTAACATATGAGGTAAATAAAAGTTACAGATCTACTAACTTATGTAATTTATATTGTTAAAGTATTTCCAAATTTTGAATTTTAGAAGATGCTTTAATATAATGTGCTGCATGTTTTTCTTTTTTGCTTCCATAGAAATTAGACAATAAGCTGTTTTATTTATGCAAGGTATTATTATTGAATCTTGAGAAATCATTCAAGAAATCCTTAAGCTTCAAGTAAATTTTTTTCTTGTAATTTAAACATTTCTTTGTTTCGGTTTGAACAGTTTTGTTCACATGTTATCACTCAATAATAATTAATTATTATTTAATTTTTAAGAATAACTTATTTAACCAGTCAATTATACTGCGTTTTATGCATAATGTTAAGAGGCTTTTCAAATAAATAATTAATAAAAACGTAATAATTATTGCTGAGTGAGACCATAATATTATTGAATTTTTAAGAATAATTTATTTAACTAAATATGTGTTTTGTGCATAATTTTTAGAAACATGCTACTTTTTAGAAATAATTTTTAGAGACTTTTCAATTAAATAATTATTTAAAATTAAATAATTGTTAATAATACTGCTAGATTTATAATACTGAAAGAGTGTTTAAGTAGTTTTCTCATCAAACAGCCTTTGTACTTTTTTCATTAAATTAATTTTCTAATTATACATTATTTTATTAAAATATAATTCTGATGTTAATAGCATGTAGAAAAAATATTTTGCTCCTATTTCTATTGCAATATATGCTACTATTGCAAATTATTAATGGTTTTTGCTATTTCAAGATGTAAATTATTGTTCTATCTACATAATCCGGGTCTCATAGTTGTCCTTATTTTCAAAAAACTTATTCCCGATTTTTTATCTTTTTCCTCCTCGTGTTCCTGAGTTTTAGGCAGGTTCAAAACGACTTGAAAATCTTGTTCCAGACTTTTGGTCATCTTAAGAAGAAGAAACTCAGCTTTTTTGCTTTTTTAGTTTTTCCTTCTGTCAATCTGTAGTTTTTATATAGTTATGTAGTTTTTTCTTATGTTTAATATGTCGAATTGCTAAGTGGTATTAAATTAGATATACTTATTAATATTTTTGAATCATAATTTTTTTCTTTTGTTTGTCCAATTGCTTTTAATTACTACTTTAATCTTCTTTTCATTTATAGAAAAATCGAAAGTGCTTTTAAATATCCAGTTACTTTAAAAATTGTTACCTTTTCTTAGTTTTTTTAATGATCTTTGTTTCCAGATTACAATGTATATTACATTTTCTATTCATTTGTTTATTTTTAAACGCATTTATTTCTTAGTATATAAATTATATATAATTTAGTTTAAGTAATTTATTGTTGCATGAAATTAATTAAAATTTTAAATTTATTTTGATCTATTTTTATATTGAAGAATCTATTTTTGATGTCAAGAAATTTTGATATTTCTTACTATATGTACGCATGAGTGAAATCCTACCATTTTCAAATTTATTTCTGATCAACTTCTTTCTATCTTAATTTTTTATTTGAAAACTTTTAGTGTAGCCCTTTTTTTTTTTTAAATTTGCAGACAGCTAAGGAAATATTCCAATCGAAACAAAATTTTCTAATCAATAGATTGCACTATTTTTTTAGCTCTTTGTTTCCCTTTCTTTTAAATAGTCTAGTCTGTGCATTGTACCAAAAAGTGCTCTGTTTTTATTTTGAACCACTACGAAGCATGCATACTCTTTATTTAATATATTTCTACCATTTGTAGTCAAGTATAATTTATTAGTAATTTTATTAAATTTTGATAATTAATTTTTTGCAGTCCATTGTTAAAAAGCCCAGATTTACGCAACATTTTCATCAAGTTGTGGCTGAAGGAAGTACTTCTCTTCAAAAGGAAGTTGTTTTAATGCTTCGAGGTCCCCCACAAAATAGTAAACGACATCATCGTGCGCAACAATGCAGAAGTGCTCCCATTTTGCCTGATGCTTGGCAAAATCGTTTCCACCCAGATTCCTTCTCCTTGCCTACAGGGAAAAAAGGTAATATATCTTTTTTTAAAGCAAATTTATTTAATAATTTTCTTAGAGCTGCATTTATTGTTATTTAGAAAGAGTGTTATCTTTGCATAAACTTGGTTACAGAGTAAATTCCAGATGTATTTACAATAAATCCAAAAAAAATTTCTTCTTCTTTCTCTAAAAAAAAATGCAAACTGTGTATAGGGCTATAATTGCAATTTATTTATAAAGAATACAGAATAATTCAAACATGACAAGTTGGCGGGTGGCTGAAAAGCTTTGAGAAACAGTTCGCTTTTTCTTATGCAAGAAGAGTTTAAAATGCAAAATATTATATGCATATTTCTTTTGGTGAGATTTCCAAACTGGCATACCATTTCCAATTTTTTGGTTTTCTGCAATAGGAAGCTCTTTGAATAAGTTAGATTTTTTATTCATTTCCTTTCCACAAAATAGTCTATAGTCTCTTTCTCTCGATTTTCCATTTCTTTTTTTCTACCCCTAAATTGCTAGAATAAGTTGTACTGTTTCGCTTTACTGTCACTTTGCACATGCCTACTCGTGATGGGGACCAATGCAAAATTTGAATTTCTTTTTAAGTTTCTTAGTTGGATGAACTAAGAAATCATGTGCTGAATAAAAAAAATTCTTATTAAAGATCATGCAAATAATTAAGCATTCAAGAGTTTTTGATTATTAGACAGAATGATTTAAGCACGTACCAATTAAACATCGACATAACTGCCAACAACTACATATTGTCCGTACTATTTCATCTTTATATTTAAAGTGATATTGAATCTTATAAATGTCTTATTAAATCTTGGGTTTATAAACTTCATTTAATGTGATTTTGACTACCACTAAATGCAAATAAAGCAATCTTATATAAAAGAGCAAGTTATAGGAACGATAATGAGTGTAAGCCGTTGCAAATGTGAAAAGTTAAATTTATCTTCAATTACATTTCAATTAGTTTTTCACTACCACTTGGGAACTGAAAAAGCTTAAGTTTGCAGATTTTCATTAAATATAAAACTGATTGTTTAAAAAATAATTATGAAAACACAGGGTTGCCACTCAAATCTGGGGAAAAAAATTCCCTGTGTTTTCCCGGTACATATTATACACAATATATTAAGAGGAAACAATTACTGTGCTCTCATTTGAGCTATTTTGGGCTAACTATACTATTTTTAATTGCTGGAAAAGCTTAGAGTAGAAAAGGAACAGCTGAACATACTTAAATAAAACAGTTTAGTGAAGCTGAAATATCATCCTTAAATATTCCATAGATTGCATTTTGAAGGGTCACCATTTTTTAAAGGTCAAAAATAAAAAGACAAAATTCCCTGTATTACCTAGTTTGTAAAGAAAAACTCAAAATTTCCCTCTAATTTTTAAATTCCCAGTATTTTCCAGGATTGCCTTGTTCTCCCTGTGGAGTGATAACCTGGAAACATAACTAAAATATTTACAATTTGTATATAATTTTTTAAAAAAAAATATATATTATAATTCGTTTTTAAGCAATTTTAATCATTACTGCAATCAGAGAAGGATTTTATGGTTTCAAATTGGAAGTTATCAGGAAATATCTTGAGTATTTTTGTTCAATAATGGATTGCATCTATTACTGCAAATTATTTTGTGAACGAACTTACAGCAAATTTTTTCCTTTTTTTTTTCTTGTCCCACTTTATAAATTTGTAAAATGGTTTCATTTTAATCACAGTAATTTTCCATGTGTATTATTTTTCTTTAAAAACTTTATTATTTGTGCGATTATATTGTAATTAAAACGTAGAATAACATGTTACATAACTCATTGTAAACATGCAAATTTATATGTTGTTAAGCTTGTCACAGATGGCTGTATTCATAGACAATTAATTTGCTAATTCATTAAATTAACAAATTTTCAGTTGAAAAATATATTTTGTAAAAGATTTTTGTTGTCACGATACATTCTAAATCTTATGTTCTCAAATTTACTAAAATCTCACTTTACATATTCTGTGCAATAAGCTTTTCTTCTATAAATGTTAACTAAGTTTTCTTTTTTAATAAATATTTCTAGAAAGAGGAACATGGGCAAGAGTTGTGGCTGGTGAAACTACCATACCGCCCATGCAAAAATCAAAGTTTGCACACTTTGGAGATTCAGGTTCGAGCAGCGAAGGTGAAAGTATATTTGAAAGCATGAAAAGTATTGGACGCCAGTTGCTGGAAGATGCTCAACCTAGGTCTAGGCTTAAAAAAGTGTCTTTCACTCTGCATGAATCAAGCTCATCAGAATCTATAGGCAGTGACTCCACTCAGTTTACAAAGAAGATTTTTCAGGAAAGGCGCTGCAGCACGCCGACATGCCGTCCCCGTTTCAAATACCGCCATTCGGCTAGCGATTCTGGATTCCCGATGGGTAATGACATAAAAACTAGACTGGACAATGATGCCCGTTTCGTCAAGTTCCGGGAATGTCGTTTTCGACTTCAAAGTGAAGTGGACCGGTTTATGTCAGGTAAAAAAGAGGATACTTCCTTTGAATCCGTTACCAGAAAGGCAAAAGAGGCTTTTGAAGAGCCTGTAGTGGAAGATTCTTTCGGGGATTTCCCCCTTCACTTCCGTAGACATCACAAAGGGATTTCTGGGCGTGGCAGGGGCCATATTTTTCATACTGATAAGGGAGAACCCCAATTAAGAGCTTGGAGTTTAGATAGAAATGCACTGTGATTATCTTATTAGTTTTTCAATTGACTGAATTTTTCATGCATACACTATGTTACGATAATAGACTGGGCAGAAAGCTTTTATAGGAAAAAGAAATTGTGGGATGTTCTTCCACACAAAACTGGTTTATATGAGCATATTTTCAACACTCTTTGATGCAAAGCTTTAAATACTTTTACCCATTCCCAAATCATGAACTTGGTAAGTTAAATTCTAGATTTTTGACACGGTTCCCTGTTTCTTATGTGACTATCTAATATAAAGCAAAAAATGTGAATAAAGTACAAAAATGTTACAATAGTTTTGTTCTATAAACAAGAACCTTCCCAGTGTTTAGTCGCTGAATGGTGTTTTTTAATTGATCAATGATCAACTTTTTTCAGTAGTGGTCTAAATTGGTCAGAATGCCATTTGGTGAAGATTCTTGTTTATAGAACTCAAACTATCATATGTTTATTTTTGTTCTTTATTTGTGCTTTATTCTAGTTGTTTCCTTCCATGTGCATAGTACAAAGTATACCCTATCCTTTTTTTTTAACTATTTAATTTTTTGCATAAATAATCAATGAGTTATATGTTAGGAGTCTCGAAAGACTATGAAAAAGGATATGCATCTTTTATTTGTACCATTACTTGACGAGTGCTGAAATGTGAGATAGGTTTTTGTCACTAAGCTTCTGTTCAATCAATTATTGTAAAATATTGTATATACAACCTGTCGTTTTTAATTTAACATTGGGTTTATTGCGTCCATTATTAGTGTGAGGTTAAATATTGCATGTATGGAATTCACAGATTCTTTTGTACAGTATATTCGACCTGTCACTTTTAATTTAACACTGCGTTCATTACGTCCATTATTAGAGTGAGATTAAATATTGCATGTTTGAAATTTGCAGATTCTTTTGTTCAGTATTACTTGAGAAAATTGAGAATTTTTTTTTAATATGTTAAGTTAGGAGACAATTTTATTAACATTAGGCGGTAGAATTGTTGTATAAGCTAATGGTGGTACAAAATTCTAGTTCCAATATCGGAAAACGTTGTTGTTTTAGTATTTGAAATTGCTGATTAATATCCTGTAATATTTCTTTTTATTACAAATTATTGTTTTTTAAACTTGCAACAGGAAAACAAAATTTGTAGGCTTATACAAAAAAAAGTGCTGATCAAAATATGTAAACTAAATCTACATCACAAGTTTGCAGCTAATCAAATACAATCAACTAGCTAAAAATAAATTCATATTTTTCTGTGTACAAGAAAATACTTCCTAGACTTGGTACACATACTTGGTGGTACTTTGAGTAATAGGAATTTGTATCTTCCCATTGTTATAGCATATTAGGATTCAGCTGATATTATTTTCATGGTAGAACTGATAATTCAACAAGTATTTTTTTTATAAACCAAAATGCAATGTATTTATTTTTTGCTTGTCTATTCTCTTAAAAGTGTACACTTACAAATTAAATATATATAAATCTACAGGAAATAGTAAATTAAAACATTTCTATTAAGTGTACATTATTGTATTTTTAAAGAATAAGTGAAAATTCATTATTGCTTAAAGAGTGGTGGCTGCCTCCTCAGCAATGCCTCTGGCAATATTAAAGGTGCAAAAAATAAATAATATGTAATCGTGTTGGAAAAACAGTCATTTCTAGCAATATGAACTGTAATTTTATTGTTATTTTGTCATTTGCACTTGCTATGCCTGCTCACTTTTTTATTTAGATAATGTGTTTTTATGAATAAAAAAAGTCTTTCTGATTCTAAGTATACAATCTAATGAAATAAAGTTAAAATTAGATTTCGCCTTTTTTTCTTCTTTCTTTCATCTGTTCTTACGTGCATAACAAAAACTTTCTTAATTATGATAACACAAAAAATATGATTTTACATACATAAGTTTTTTTTTTCAGTGTAATTTAAGATAAATGAGTCATTGAGTTAAAATACCTGCTAACTGTGTTTTTAGAGGTAAAAAGGAGTTTAATAGATCATAGAAATCATGTTTTTCTTTAACTGCAATATGAACATATTAGCTGAGTGTTTCTATTTTTTGAAAAGAAATCATAGTTTATGCACTTTATGAAATCAGAGCTTTTAAGATGAAACATCAAGATGATTTTATTTCTAAGGACTGTTTTTTAAGATGAAATGTTATTACATTTTCATCTTAAAAGCAGTTGCAGGCTTTGTATCTGGGCTACTCAACTAGTTATTGATATTATATTTTAACTCTCTGTTCTACATTATTTATTATTTTATCATAATGTGGGTTATAAATTAAAATTTATTATGCATTTTTTTGTTGTTATATTTGTGTGACGAATCCATCTGCTAGTCAAAATTTATCTGAATTAAGTTTGAAATCAAATCTTTGTGTCTACATATGATTGTTATTTGTTGATTTTTCTTAATTTGTTTATAGCTTTCGAGAGTTTCATTGTATATATCTTTACGTAATAATAATCTGTTCTGAAATATAGTTATTTATTTTCAATTCAATTTTGCCTAACTGATTTGAAAATTCAAATGCTGCTTTGCGCCATGCTTCAGGGATAAAAACATAAAATTTTTCTGTTATTATTTAAAATATTTTTTTTAAATTTTAAGCAAAATAATACGGATGGATAAAATGTGTTCAAAGTTTATTTAATATAGACTAATGCTTCCACCTTAGATGAAATAGGAAAAGGTTGCAGATTAATGTCAGAACATACCGATGGATGTGTAAAATTTACTGCATTTAAAGTAAAATAATCTTTTTAAGTTAATACAGTGTGCATAGCGTTTTTAAAAAGTGCTTATATTCGCTTTTTAAAAGCCCTTAAAGGTGCTTTTTTCATTGAGTGTTTTTAAAAAAAGTGCTTAATTTTCCCTCTTTGAAAATGAAATTTTTCCTTTACTATGTTGATTTTTGCTTCGAATTATGCAAAAAGACACAGCTCACATTGTTCTATTCAACGTTTTCACAATTAGCTCATCCCAATTTATTTCGGCGCATTGTCAGTCTGTAGCGTATAAAAACACCATTTGTTATACATGATTCAAAATTTCATGATTTTTGACAATTGTCAAAAACAAGGCCAAAAGATTTTTTTTTGGACATGACAGTTAAAACAAGATAAAACAGTCAATTTTCAAAAACTTTCCAACCCTGCCTAATTATGATATTTTTTTAAAGTGCTTAAAAATATCTTTTGAGTGCTTAAAAGGTGCTTATTTTTCGTTGAATAATTTGGCTACGCACCCTGTAATACTGCTGAAAAATTTCACTTTTAATTTTTTAATGGTTGATCAAGTCTGTCTATTGTTTTAACTATTTTATTACTGATACACTTTTAGGCTATTGGCGACTGTCTTAGTTTTAATAGTACCATAAAAGTGGCCAAAATATTTTTAATAGTGATCAGAATTAAACCTATAAATACAGATAATTTTACCAGCATTTACTTATTATTTAAAAACAAGGAATAAATTTATTTAAAAATGGAATCTGAATGAAAAGGCAGTTTTTTTATAAGGGATGTTAGCTTACTTTTAGCAACAAAAAAAAAATGCAGAGAGAGCGCATTTATTGGAATCAAAAGGCGAGCAGGGTGGGTCGCCTTCAAAAAGCGCTAAGGGAGAACACTGTAGTAATTATTTCAATTTTCAAAATAAGAATTGTATTACAACTGGTATAAAAAATTTTGAGTTGAAATGTTTGGTAATGTAGTTACATTATATGTTTTATCTTGAGCAATGAAAGCAAATGGCATTTTTTTAAAAATTTGAAGTAATGTGTTTTATACCAGTTTTGTCTTTTACAAAATAAAAATTTATTTTGATTATCATTAAAAATAATTGTTTTTGTTCTGAATCACTTAAAAAGATTAAAGAATATTTAAATGTCATAAAAAAATCAATATAAGACCTAAGGTAAAAATAGCAGTTTGTAAAAAAAGTGCTTTCAACTGATTATGATACTAAGCATCTTAATTTGTGAATGATTAAAATTAATTTTAATGTGTTTTAAAGTTCAAATTTATAATTTAATTAAAAAAAACTAATTCAATTTTTAATTTGTTATAATCTAATAACATTTCATATCTAAATCACAATTAACTGCTATATGCTTACAAAAAATCAAATGCTCTTTTACATTTATTATTAAAGAACAATCTTTAAAAAAAATTCTACCACTTATACCTATGTTTCTATTTTTACTGCATTATTTGTCTTTATAATGTTGCAATGCTTGTGCCTTATGCTGATAAAATGCAATATATACATGTAACAAACTATTTGTATTTTATAATATGTGACTTAATAGATAATAGTATTTATTATGAAAATTGTAGAATTGATTTTTTATATGCATGATATAATGAATAAAAATTATTATAATATCTGTTTTTAATTGTGTTTTTTACTTTAAAATTATTGAGCTTCATTATTTTACATTCTATATTATAATCTTCGCCATTAGCAAAAAACTATATTCAAGCTCATAGACCTGCCCCTTTGTGCAGCTTCTGTATTAATTGTTTTTAATGAGGAAAAAAAACTCTTAATAACATTATTTTCTCAAGGTGCATAGCGTTTTTAAAAAGTGCATTAAGGTGCTTATTTTTGACTGACATTTTTTTATTTATTTGGGATTTGTAAGATGTGCTTAATTTTCTATCTTTTAAAATGAGATATTTTCTTTGCCTCGTCGATTGTCGTCATAAATTTAGAAAAAAATAATTATGATTTTTACAATTTTCTCTGCAATATTTATCAGAAACTAGATATTTTATCTTAATTATGTAAAGTCTTTGAAAATGTTTTTGCATTTTGTTGATTTTATGTTTATAAATTAAGAACTTTAAACAATAGAAAGGAATAATTTTTGTCACTGTGTATATCCTAATTAGGATTTTTTTTGGGGGGAAAAAGATTAAAAATATTTTTTGAGTGCTTAAAAAGTGCTTATTTTTTGTTGAAAAATTTGGCTGTGCACCCTGTTAATGGGGTAGCATCTTTTATTATTGAGTAACTGGAACTTTTATTATTGAGAACAATGCTTAAAAACTGATTTACAAACCAGGAGAGTCAGTTAGGATATGTATCTAGGTCAGAGGTCGCCAAAGTGGTCTATATAGACCCCCAGGGGTCTATTTAACATAAGCGGGGGTCGATCTGAGCCAGGGGGTCGAATGGGGGACGATCCGAACCGGAAAGGTCGATTGGTCGAAGGATTATCAGTATTTTTCAGATATGTGACAATTAGAAAAAAAAGAAGAAGACTTGGAAATATATACAGGTAAATCTTCAAAAATTGAGCGACGATTTTAAACTGCGTTTTGTTGATTTGGAAAACATTAACATCCCTGATTGAATTATTGTACCATTTTCTGCTCAAATTGAAAACGTGGGCATCAACCTGCAAGATGAGCTTGCTGAATTATTATGGGGATTTGAAGCAAAGACGCTTTTTAAAAATTTAACAANTACTTTTTCCCTAAAAAAGTAACGAAAGTACAAGTAAAAGTACTAAATTTAAAAAGTAACGAAGTACAAGTAAAAGTACGTACTTTTTACTTGTACCGGCGGTACAAGTAACGAAAGTAAAAGTACTGCCATATATGGTGCTTAAAAGGTGCTTATTTTTTGTTGAATAATTTAGCTACGCACCCTGAATTTTCTATCTTTTAAAATGAGATGTTTGCCGCGTCGATTGTCGTCATAAATTTAGAAAAAAATTATATAATTTTCACAATTTTCTCTGCAATATTTATCAGAAACTAGTTATTTTATCATAATTATGTATATTCTTTAAAAATGTTTTTGCATTTCGTTGATTTTATGTTTATAAATTGAGAACTTTAAACAATAGAAAGGAATAATTTTTATCACTGCACATATCCTAATTAGGATTTTTTTTTTTTTGGAAAGTGATTAAAAATATTTTTTGAGTGCTTAAAAGGTGCTTATTTTTTGTTGAAAAATTTGGCTGTGCACCCTGTTAATGTGGTAGTATCTTTTAATATTGAGTAACCAGACAATGCTTAAAAACTGATTTATAAACCAGGAGAGCCAGTTAGGATATGTATCTAGGTGAACACCTTGTCATTGGGTTGAGGAAATGAATTAATGAAAAGAGAAGCAAGTGGATCTCTCCCTTACTTGATAATCAGGATTCTTAAAGTATCCAAACAGCTGTCCAACCACCAAAACTCGCCAAATTATTAAACTATGATAAATCAGCTGATTTATGCCGACAATACTTATTATATAACGTAAAGTTAAGATAATTTAAATAAATAAATGTACCTCTTCAAAGACGAATGATATATTTTGGAAATAATAGGAAAGCATCATTAGCAGCCTCCAATGACATTTCTGGATTTTCAATTCTTAATCCTCTTATTTCTTATAATCTTATTTCTTAATCTCTATCTTAATCCCCTTTTCAATTCTTAATCCTATTATCCTCAATTCTTAATTCTCTTATTTTATGATGTGCCCTACTATATGTTTGTCTCAAATTATACGTGACATCCTGTATATTTACTTATTTCCTATGCTACTGCAGTACATATTTATTGCAATTTAAATTCAAATGTAATTTGCAACCTTCATTTTGTTTTCTTACTATTGTATATCATGAAATTATAGTCATAGTTAAATTAAGTCTTAGACCAAAATGTTTTGTGCTAATATCCTAGGATATAAATGTTTCTAAAACTTTTACAAAAACTGTTGAGTATACAGTTAAAAATCTTCAAGTATATGTTTTTAATTGTCATTATCCTATTACAATATCATAAGTACATAAAACTTATCTCATGGAAGAACTTTTACCGCATTTAATTAAACTTTCATGTTCCTTTGTGATGAAAAAAAATGTTTCAATCGAAATTTCAACTACTTGCTGACTAGCTTGAATGCTCATATTTCAACTGGAGCTCTGTGTACCGTAAAAATCCAACTTTCAATCGTTTTCTGGGGATATTAGCATGATTTTTTTTATCTTTTTGTGGCAATTGAAATTTCGTACACTTTTTCATGAACGAACATAAAACTGGAAAAAAAATTATATAAAAAAGCACGCTTTTTAAGTGAACATTTTTTTATTTATTTTTGTCGCGCCTAAAATGAAGAATACTGGCTGCACAACTTTCAAGGTAAACTTCTATGAGGTGCGGCAATTTGACTGTGCTCCGCAACGATATAATCTTTTTTTTTTTTTTTTTTTTAAGTTTCTTTTTTAAAAAAGATGAGTTTTTTTAATTATGTTTCTACAAAATTTAGTGTTTTATATCCTAATTTTTTATTGTTTATTTTATTCTCCCCTACACACACATATACACCGAATAGCCATTACATTATGACCACCCTGCTAATAACATGTAGGACCACCTTTAGTCCTCAAAACTGCTAGCACCCGCCGAGGCATTGGATTCACAAGGTGCTGATAGGTAATCTGAGGTATCTGGTACCAAGCGCTCACCAACTGGTCCTGCAATTCCCTCACATTGCGAGGGGGTAGCGTGGCAGCGCGAATTTGGTCTTCCAAGTAAGACCACAAATGCTCTATTGGATTAAGGTCAGGTGAATTTTGGGGCCCAGACATAACTTGAAAGTCACTGGAATGTTCCTCGAACCAATCCATGACGATTCGACCCTTATGACATGGTGCATTATCCTGTTGGTAAACACCATCCCCCGCAGGAAAAACTGTTGCCATGAATGGGTGAACCTGGTCTGCAACTATGTTCAAGTAGCTTACAGAAGTCAGGGATTGTTCTATGAGGATTATGGGTCCTAATGTGCCCCATGAAAACATTGTTCCTGGGCGAGAAACCATGAAAACCTGGGCGAGCCCATTGTTATAGATGGAGGGTGGTCATAATGTAATGGCTCTTCGGTGTATATATGTATATCAAGATCTTAGGCATACCATTGAATAATTAAAATCGTAAGTAAGTTGCCAAAAATTCAAAAGAAAAAAAAGGACTCTAGTACATTAGTACAGTCATTATTTGATTAAACTCTTATTTTAATAATGCTAAATTCAGAGTACAATAGTGGAATTGTCTGACTTTGACTATAGTTCAAATCAAAAGTTTCATCATTGCTGTCTGTGCTCATATTTTTCTTTGAATCAAGTAGATATAAACAATGAGATAGTGACAAATACACTAACAAAAACTGATGTGAATGTGATTCTAAGATAGATTGATTTTTCAAAAAAAAGATACCTGGTCGGTGATTACTGCACACATGGCTCGCAATCAGAAAATATTGTTCACTTAAAGGTATATGACGGCCGGAGAAAGATGATTTTCTGGTTGGTTGGCTGGACAATCACAGTAGCATTGATCATTCATTTTTATCCCAACGCTCAATGAGGAGTTGGTGAAAGTTCGGCGAGAATTTGGCGGTTCTCTGTCTTTATTCCATTTGTTCTTATCTTTTCCTTGGGTTCTATCGGTTTTTGGATTATCTATATCCAGTCTCTTGGGATTCTTAAAAAGAATAAAAACAGTATTATGAAATATTTAGCTATAAATGTTTAAATTTCTTTATAATGTGAAATACTTGGAGCGAAGTAATGATAAGTCAATTTTTTAAATTGTTCAAGGAGTTGTTTATGATGAAAAAGACTACGATTTCCATATCGCCAATAACGTGTTTCAGTGTATTGTACTGTAATTCAGTAGGAATTCTGGAAACTTATTAAATATTTATCTGCAAAAAATTCTAAATTATAGTTTTTTTTAAATAACCGTCGTTGAACAGCAGACCCAATTTTGGGTTTACGACTACCTATGTTCGTTTAACTCCGAAGCCTTGTAATTTTGAACCCAATCCAGAAGACAAAAGAACTTCTGGATAAAGTATTGGGAGAAATTTGCCTTCGTGGAGGACTTCTGAGGGAACAAACCAGCATTTGCGTTACACGGGGAGGAAAACATCGAATACCTTCCACGGTTAGCCTGAGGTCAAGGAGGCTCTAACCCATGATCCGTCTACCACTTGAGGATATTTTACGTTAGCACTGGTCGGTGCGAGCCGGGTGCGGAATTCGTATCTATCAGCTATCGTTGGGATTCGAATCTGATTCACCTCATTGGAAGGCGAACGTTTCATCCCCTGAGCCACCACGATTCTAAGTTATAGTTTGGTGTAAGAAAAGATGTGGTTTTTCACAATATTACTTAAAGCAGAACTTTTTTAAACTTCTCAAAATTAAATAAAATTTTAATACACCTTCCCCCCCCCTTCAATAATGAGATTTTAAAATACGCATCTAGTATAAAATATTACTCGTATTTGTTGAATGCATTTAAATACACTGAATACTAATCATATTATTCCTATAAATACGGCATAAGCATATAAACTGAAATATCTCGGTTAATTACTATGTAATTGGTCAATTGTATGATTGACTGTAAAATTGCTATAAATATTAATGATAAATCAAGCTATCATATTTCTCAAAAAGTAGAATAGATTTAAAGTACAAATTAATAAGCAGAAATGGAAAAGAAAAATACTTATATTATTTTTTATAATAGACATTTAGTGCTCTTTAAGATACAGTGAGGCAGTGCCATAATAATCTTCAGGCAACGTATTTAACGAACATATAATGAATATGAAAGATTTGAATTATGTTACAGTGACACAGATTCAAAGCTCAGCTGTAGTGGGGAGATTCTGTTCCCAGCTCGCACCGACCACAACGCTGGCATAAAATACCCTCAGTGATAGACGGATCATAGGTTAATACTCTCGCCGTCGGGCTAACCATGGGAGATTTTCCTCTCCATGTAATACAAATGCGCGTTAGTTCCATCAAAGAGTCCTCCAGGAAGGCTAGTTTGTCTTAATGCTTGATCTAGTTGTTTTCTTGTCTTCAAGGTTGGGTACAAAATTACAAGGCTACAGGTTTGAAAATTGATAGTAATAAACTCAAAATTGGGTCGGCTGTTCATCGCCGTTTATAGAATAAAAAACATTGTTCTAAAAATTTTTGGAAATTTTTTAAAATATTTCATGAAATAAACTTTTATTTTCTTACCCGTGGTGAAGGATTAGGATTTTGAGAAACCGAGTTTGATCTGGGTTGTGGAATGGGTCCTGGCAAAGAGTTCGGCGGAGGATTTGTTGGTCTTACAAATGGCTTCCTTTGCACCGGTGGCAGGACAGGAAGGGGTATTTTGCGGTATAGATTCAATTCATACATATTTGGTGCTTTACCACATTCGAAATGGAACCACCAATCACAAACGAAAAATCGCTGGTGAAAAATAGTTCCATTCACACAAAGAAAGCTGGCGTTCCGCCCATCTGGAAAGCAAACGTGGTAGGCCTAAAAAAGTAATTGAAATGAAAGAAACTGGATTAGTTGGTTCTAAAGAACTGTACGTTTTTGTTCTATTTCTTTCTGATCTATACACACAAGCAGGACCATATATATATAAATTATGATGAGTTCAAATTAATATAAAAAATAATAAAATCAAAGCTTTTTAAAACTACGTTCTTTAAGAGAAAAAAGGAAGAAAATATAATTCTATTTTTTCGGCAGGCAAAAAACGTAGGAAGCCTCACTTTCAAAATACGTCGGGAGATTTTTGGTAATGATAAAAGTTTATTATGAAAATGGTACGTCCTTCGTTTTCGGTCAGATAAAAAAAAATAGAATTTTAAAATAGCAAAAATTCTTTTCGTTTAGGTTTAATTTGAAAGAAAAAAGAATATGAGTGCCATTTTAGTTTAAAAGGGTTAAAAAAAAAAGGGGGGGGAACAATCTTTTCGTAGCTATGAATGATTACACTCAGAAACAAATTTTTTGTTAAATATTTTATTCATATACTTGAACTTGCCTAATTTGGGTATGGAGATCTCAAATCTAANACCTTCATTTGGCATTTTGAACTTTAAATAGAAGCAAGTTTAAACAGCTAAAACTAATTCATGTATTAACGTAATTTGACAAGTATTTTAAGTTTAGAATTGACTAGTTACCTAAATATAAATACTACCACTGATAACTTAATGACTAAGAGGGACAAATTGCATACCTAAATCAAGCGAATGACCATAAAAACATACTTGAATCGTCGCCAGTTAGCTTTGCAATCCCATAATTCATACAGTATAATCCAAGGGTTCTTCCATGAAAGTTGATTTTAGCATGCTGCGAAGTCCAGGTCACCACTGAAGTGAGTACGAAATGCGGGTTTCTCTTAAAGCATATTTATTTCATGAACACAAACATCAATATAACATAAACTAAATTAAACATTATGGGTCGTCCTGCGACCAAGCTAGCTAGTGAAAAAATTGAAAAGGTAAGTGGCTGTTCATTTCATTTCATTTATTAACAGAAAATTGGGTACCTGGGCCGCGCAGCGGCCCCTATCCCATACATCATGAATTAAAAACATTGTGTGATAACATTTTGATTTTGCAACATTATGGTAAGTGGCTGTTCTTCAAAGGACAGAATATATATCACGAGGATCACAGGGTTGCTTTTACCTGAAGATCTTAAATCGCCAAGCTGGCGGTAAGACTGGTGAGAGTGGCGAGCACCGCAAGTTGATTCTAAAGAAATGTATGTTTTTGTTCTATTTCTTTCTGATCTATTTCCTTCTACACACAAGCAGGATCATATAGATATAAATTATGATGAGTTCAAATTAATTTAAAAAATAATAAAATCAAAGCTTTTTAAAACTACGTTCTTAGAGAGATAAAAGGAAGAAAATATAATTCTATTTTTTTCGACAGGCAAAAAACGTAGGAAGCCTCACTTTCAAAATACGTCGGGAGATTTTTGGTAATGATAAAAGCTTATTACGAAAGTGGTACGTCCTTCGTTTTCGGTCTGATAAAAAAAATAGAATTTTATTATAGTAAAAATTCTCCTCGTTTAGGTTTAATTTAAAAGAAAAATGAATTTGAGTGCCATTTACTTTAAAATGGCAAAAAAAGGGAGAAACAATCTTTTCGTAACTGTGAATGATTACACTTAGAAAAATTTTTTTGTTAAATATTTTATTCATATACTTGTACTTGCCTAATTTGGGTATGGAGATCTCAAATCTAAACTTAGTTTTGCTCCTAAAGCTACAGATTTTTTCAAAACGTCATTTTTAGTCTAGCTTTTGTCGAAATGTGCCGATTCAGAAACGTTATATATAACATGGGTCTCATAAATGTTACGATAAACGTCTACGATAAACTTTCTCATCATCATGATTGAAATTACATAGGAACTCATGCCGGATTACGCGGCTCGGGGAGCTTCCCCTGTTATAACCTGTTCAGAACCACATGACGAAACAGTTCATTATAAGGAAGCATCCTTAGTGGCGTTCGACGATATTTCCGGGCATAGGTACCTATGCAATTCTAATCCTGATACTGTGCCCTAACTCCCATACAAGTTTGTCGCGACATTTATGGTACCCCGTATTTTACATAACGTTTTTAAATTTGCACATTTTGACAAAAGATGAACTAAAAGGGACATTTAAAAAAGAGCTGCAGCTGGAGCGAGATACCGATTGTAGATTTGATTTCAGTGGCGTGAAAATATTCAAGTTCCGTTAAAGAATCTTATGCAAAATAAAAGTAAAAAAAACTTTCTCTGTGTTATTATTGAGAGAATACTCATGAAAATATTAGTAAAAAAAATCCTGAACTGAGCCCGTGATAATTTCAATACCTGACACCCAGCTTCAACGTCTCCAAAATATCCAGCATAATCATAATCAGAACATCGGAAGCTTGTTCCTTCAGGTACTGAAGCATGTACTGGATAATCTAATCCAGCTTGCCCTGGTATGTTATCCCCATCAACATCGTTCAGATAATCACCTGATCTCAGAAGTGCTTCACGCAAGCGAATATTTTGACCCTATACACAAAGTTAAAAAGAAAAAAAATGTAATCATCAAATGTATGAAATCAGTTTTAAAAAAATGCATATATTATTAATTAGAAAAATTCATTAAATTTGTCAGTTTTTTTTCTTCCAATCCCTGACGTCTGTAAGCTACTTGAACATATTTGCAGACCAGGTTCACCCGTTCATGGCAACAGTTTTTCCTGCGGGGGATGGTGCTTACCAACAGGATAATGCACCATGTCATAAGGGTCGAATCGTCGAGGAACATTCCAGTGACTTCCAAGTCATGTCTTGGCCCCCTAATTCAGCTGACCTTAATCCAATAGAGCATTTGTGGTCTTACTTGGAAAACCAAATTCGTGCTGCCACGCTACCCCCTAGCAATGTGAGGGAGTTGCAGGTGAGCGTTTGGTACCAGGTACCTCAGACTACCTATCAGCACCTTGTGGAATCAATGCCACGGCGGGTGCTAGCAGTTTTGAGGGCTTAAGATGGTCCTACATGTTATTAGCAGGGTGGTCATAATGTAATGGCTTTTCGGTGTATATATATACAAATAAGACTTTTTGTCTTTTTGGAACCTTCTGTATTCACAGTTGCAACGCTTGAATACGCCATCTGGGCAGAAGACTGTCCCCCTGTCTTGATTTTTCCGGGAATGCACTACGATATTTTCCCCTTCCATAACATTTTTCGAATATAATTGTCAAAAATAATTTTCCACGACACTTTCATTAAGAATTATGTTTAATGCAGTTTTGAGTTCCACTTAGTTTTCAAACTTAAAAGTTTTTAATCTCTCTCTATTTGAAAATCAAGACAGAAACTAACGTTCTTCTTTCTCTTACGACTGTCCACACGCTAATGGTGAAAGCATGCGAATTGTTGCCATAGATAGAGACAAACTTTTTAGACAACTTTAACTTGTGAGCTTTTAGTTACTAGTCAACCGAGCAAGTAAAACAAGTTTATTCTAATTTAAAAAGCATTAATTGTTTTGAAAACAAGCTTTTTCGATTTTTTTAAAACAAAGAAGTAATTAGCGTTAGATGATATTCACTTACTTTAAATAACGCATAAATGTCCTTTCTAATTTTTCCCACGAAGGCATTTTTTGCGTAACTCACATCTCCCTTATTTTACACTTTTTGCGGAAGATATTTGCTATGGTGCTAAACTAAAGCAGGACAATTTAAAAGAAGTTTTATTTTTCAGTTTTTACAGGATTTAAAAAAGTTCCTATTATTTGGCATTTTTATGCATTATTATTTGTCGATTAGTTATTTTTCGTGGGAGCCAAAGTTCTTTTTAGTTGAATTTACTAAACAAATTATCAAATACTATTACTATTATTACTTTTCTAACCGTTAAAAACAGTTTTAGATAGTTGCTACGGAAATTCGTAGCAGGTGTAGGATGTGACCAAAATAATGTAAAGAATTGAAAACTGATTTTAGGTTAACCTCATGCAGTAAAAAAAATAATCATAAAACAATATAAAATATAATACAACAAAATGCACCTATAAAATTATCTGTTTTCTCTACTATTGCAGTACAATCTACGTAATTAAATTTTTTTTTTAATTAAATCAATTTCATAATATTTAGCTTACCTGAATGCCTATAAAACTTCCCACTACACCTAAAAATAAAAACGTTAATGTTTTATTTTTAACAAATGCCACTGAAATTAAAAAAAATAAAAATAATTTAATTAAAAATGCATTTTAAAAAAAATTTCTCACCTGCTAATAAAATGTAAAATTTCATGAATTTTTTTCAAATGATGGAAACTGTAAAACAAAATAAATGTATTAGAAAATATTTCAAATCCCTCCTAGATGTGTATACTTTGAGGCTATTAAAGAAGTGTTAAAGTATTCAGCTGATATTCAGTATGAGATACTGCCCAGCATCGTGTTTATAGTAATTTTTTTCTTTAAAAAAAGTCAGCCTTAACCCTTTTTGCTGAAGAATTTTCCAAGTGGTAATGAAAGAACAATTATAGGCACACGTTTTATATATATATATATAACTGGATAATCTAATCCAGCTTGCCCTGGTATGTTATCCCCATCAACATCGTTCAGATAATCACCTGATCTCAGAAGTGCTTCACGCAAGCGAATATTTTGACCCTATACACAAAGTTAAAAAGAAAAAAAATGTAATCATCAAATGTATGAAATCAGTTTTAAAAAAATGCATATATTATTAATTAGAAAAATTCATTAAATTTGTCAGTTTTTTTTCTTCCAATCCCTGACGTCTGTAAGCTACTTGAACATATTTGCAGACCAGGTTCACCCGTTCATGGCAACAGTTTTTCCTGCGGGGGATGGTGCTTACCAACAGGATAATGCACCATGTCATAAGGGTCGAATCGTCGAGGAACATTCCAGTGACTTCCAAGTCATGTCTTGGCCCCCTAATTCAGCTGACCTTAATCCAATAGAGCATTTGTGGTCTTACTTGGAAAACCAAATTCGTGCTGCCACGCTACCCCCTAGCAATGTGAGGGAGTTGCAGGTGAGCGTTTGGTACCAGGTACCTCAGACTACCTATCAGCACCTTNTATAAAGTAGAATATATATTTTTTATTCTAATATAAAATATTTTTTATTTATTTATTAATTTTGTTGTTGTTAATTTTGCTAGTGTTTGCATGCATTCACAAACTTCCCTAATTGTCTCACGACATACATTTAAAATTATCTCACGAAAAAGTTGTCTCTCCAATCCTATGTTACTTTTGTGTTGTATAATGTATAAGCATTTCAGAAGTAGTACCTTTGTAAATAATTACTGATTACATAAACATAATTAATACAAGTGATACTCGAAATTCTTTAATTAGTAAGAAGATATTAGTTTCTAGTATATAATATAAGCATAGTAAAAGTATGGGGGGGAGGTATGGATAATTGGCCAAGGGGCCAGGATTCTTAAGGGTTCATTCAAAATTCCTTAAAAAAATCTTATGTTTTTAATCAATTTAATTAAAAGAAAATTTTTAGACTTAACTTCAAAGACACTGTAGTACACCAGGATCAAACACTTTGGAAATTGATGTCTTAACCCATACTTTAAACTTTTAAAATTTACTACAGAAAATTTATGGATTAATACTTGGTTTTTAGTTTAATTGATGTGATTAAAAAAAATTCCTTCAACTGAACGTAAAATAGTTAAAACATATAAAATACCGGCATAGGCTTCATTTACAATCACGAGATCACCTGTGTTCGGATGAAAGTAAACGCGTTAATAATTCAAAATATTCATCTAAGATTTGTTAATTACTCAACTAAGATAAGACTTAGAGGGGAAGCAATGTAACTTTCCAAAGACGTACAACAATGCTTCCTGAATTAGGGGTGATGCTGGTCTATAATTTGGATCCGTCAGTACCTGTTTATGTTTTCAGAGTATTTTTTTTTTAAACAAAGAATGTACTAATGTTTTCATAAAATATAAATAAAAAGTAAATAAATAAAAGAATTTTTAAACAAAGAGGCAGTTTTATTTTTACATTTTACTTAAATAGAAAACTTCGTTTAAATCTTCGAAAAAATTATAAATTTTTTGTGGGATACCTAGACGCATAAGAACCGCTTATTGAATATTGTATGTAAACTTAAATTGAGTTTATCTATTGCATATAACGCAAATCATTTTAAATTTTTTTTGCAATATTTTTAAAATTTTTTTATCCTAACGCAGAAAAGATTTTCTTAAAGGGAGGAAAAGGGGCTCGAAATACAAAAGTTAATGCTAACGCGAGCGAGCGTACGATTTTTAATAAGATAAATAAATAAGAGATATAGCACAGACGTAAGATAAGTAAATAAAAGATATAACGCAGACCTAAATAAATAAAAAGTATAACGCGGACATAAATAAATAAAAGTATTTTTAAATTGAGAGACAATTTGTTTTCAAATAACGTTACTATACCTCTACCTGCAAACGTTATTTAATTCCTCAAGAAAATTTATCAAGAATTTATCTTATTATTAAATTATTATTAATATAAATAATTTTTTATAATTCCGCATTAATTCCTTTTTTTTAAATTATAACGTAAAAAGAGAATTTATTTTGTTTGTGTGTTAGTGGTGGGGTTGAAATACAAAAATTAATACTGACATAAGATTTTTCTCTTAATTAAAGAAATACCTTCTAGTGTTTATATTCTCCAAAATGAATATTAAATCTTTTCGTTCGATTTAACTGTAGGTGCTAGCTTTCTCTTGACCTACATTCAAAGCTAGGCACATGATTATATATCGAATTAATACATACTTGCATCTGACCTCACATCTTGACCCCCCGCACCTTGCAGGAAATCACCCTCCACTTATTCCTTCAAAGTGATTCTGTTGTAGCTACCTGTCCGTCAACAATGACCGCCCATTTGATTTCCTGCCAAATAATCTTCATAAAAATAATGAAAACTTTCTTCTTAACCTGACGACACTCTTTGCAACAACAGTTCATGACAAAACATTTACCGAATAAATGACCTTCCTATCTCCATCTAATGTCTTTTCAGAAATTAATAAAAAAAACCTATTCAGAAAGTGCTTAAAAAAAAATATATGCAATGGGAATTTGAAAGTTTGCATAGATGATGATGACCCCACCAAAAAGGGGTCAAACGATATCGTCACGTTATTATTTTTGAAAGAAAGAAAAAAAAATGTACATTCAGATGGTAGTTAATGGATGTTGATGGATGGTATCTTAACGAATTATCAATTTAATTAGAATAGATTGATGGTAAGAAAATTCAAGTGATAGGGTGGTTTTGTTAGTTAGATACAGGAAGTATTTATGTGTTATAAAAACCTATTTCGTTTTGACACAGCAAAATATTTTTTTAAATTCCACTTACAAATGCGGGTTCATTTTAAATAACATATTTGATTTTTCATATGATGGAATGTTTTCCCAACATTGCCTTTTTTGTAAATTAAGTGAATATTTTAAACGAAGTTTTTGTAAATAATACCCTCTGCGTATATTCTAGAAATGCTTACACCGGTTGAGATAGAAAAAATTTGATATTGAAAAATTTATGGGAAGTTTTGAAGCTAGTTATTATTGGAAATATTGTTTGGGACATGCCAGAAACATTAAATTTTGAAGTTCAATAAAATTTTTTAACTATACAAATCAGTCAATGCTAGTCATTAAAATGCATTTTAAAATGCTAACAGCAATGCAATTCATTAATTTTTTAAAAAAAAACCCCTCATAATAGTAATAATGTTGTTATTATTATAATGAGGGGGTTTGTTATTTATTGATTTTTGCTGACAAAGAGGAAGGGGGAGTCCAAAATGGCCAAAAACATGCATATTCAATATTTGAACATTCCCTTACCTTACTGATTTTCTTTTTTTTTTTTTTTTTTTTTTTTTGAACTAGGCCATTTTTNTTTTTTTTTTAGTTTAAATGGATTTTAAGAAACATTATTACTTCCTTATGAAAATAAAAATGGTCTTTTGGAGAAACTTTGATTACGGCCTAATTTTCAACAACGATGCATAGCTACAAATCCAGAACGTCTAGCTCTATCACTCATTTCTTAAACTGTTAGTGAAATAGCAATGAAAACAAGCGAAAGTTTTTTTTAAACTCACCAGCGTTTAAAAACTTTAATTTTCATATTATTTATGCATGCGTTTGAATTATTTATATTACATGGTTATTGAAATAATTTTTAGAAAATCAAAATTATTTAACCAAAAATTAAATTCTAAAGCTTTAATTTGTAACCATTAAAAATATTTTGTTTTATAAAAAATCTCTCGCCAAAAGCAGGAGAAATTAGCTACTAAATATAAAGGGTTCAAGGCATTACATTGCTAAACCATTCCTCCCCCCCATTTTTGCATCCAGCTATGATTGTAGAAATTTTACAATATGAATGTAGTCAAAATAATTTCCAAGAGGAAATTTTTACAAATTTCAGGAATTGATAGCCTAACTAGGTTGTTCACAATAACACAGAAACATCGTATTGCCTACAACATGATAATCATGGTGTTTCCTTCCTTGAACAGTTTGAGAATGTGGTTTATCGTACGTTCTTCATATACAGCGCTGCGTAGACACATGTATATTGTACTAATTGAGCACATAGTGCTGCTTTTGAACCTTTTCATCTTAATATTATGCAACTTGAGATGGTTATTTGAGGTCTATTTGAACGTAAATGGAATGCGAAAAATAGTGCTGCGTTAGATTCTTTTTTTAATTTTTGAAGCCATTTATGTACGAAAAAATCAATTAAAACTATTGATTAAGTAGTAAAGTATGAACTATTTTAAGCATACTATTTTTGGTACTATTTTAAGCATAGTATGCTACCTTACTAAAATTTTCGAATAGTTGTCAGGTAGACTCTGCAGAAATTTTATTTATCCCGATAATATTAAAATAAAACATTAACGCATTATAAATAAATATTATAGAATTATAAATACGAATAATAAAGAGGAATTCAAGCAACTGTTCTGGTTTGCAGTGAACTAGATGTTTATCAAACCAATCTATCAATCAAAAACGATCCTTATTATATTTTGCGTTCTTGTTATCTCGATAAACTCGTCTGACGCTCTAAATATTCAACGAAGTTTCAAAGCAATAATTTAAATATATATTAAAACGTGGGAAATTTTAGGAACGTATCTATTTAGATTTTAATTTATTGCAGCTCAGCTCCTAAACCAACTGTTCAGAAAATGCTAAACAAGTTCCTGTTCGCACCAAGGACACGGAAACA